TTAAACAGCATGAAGAGGCTGAATCACCAGGCCTGCATAGTTTTAAAATTGTAGCCCTGCCTGTTGTGCTGAGTCAAACTGGTTTGTCGGGATTGGGCAGCTGGGGGAGGGGAGAGTGTGGGGAGGGAGCCTGGGTACAGCTGGGCACCTGATGGGGTGGGAGAGGCCCCTTGCCCCGGGGGCTGGCCCTGGCGCCAGGTCTCCTATGGCCTTCTGTCCCCAGACTCCTGGCCAGACCCACTGTGACCTGGATCCCTGGGAAGGGCTCAAAGCCCTCACCTAAGGGCTAGCTCTCCATCCATCCTCCTGACTGGCTGGTAGGGCCAGGACCGGGGTGGGGGGCATGGATGAGCCCTGAGACATCTGGGCTCTCTGCCCTGCGCTTCTTCCTCCCTTCTCCTCCCTCTCAGGTTTATTTAATTATAAATCCCCATGATCTGAGGGCAAGAATGAAAAACAAAATGTGTTCTCTGTTCTGAGATGCTCCCCACTCCTCCTTCCCAGACTTGAGGGCTACAGCAGGGGCGTGTGGATGAGGGAGGTGGCCTTGGGTGAGATAGGCTCCTCCAGGTCCCATGGCAGGGTCCCTCCTAGACCCCTTGCTCCTCAGGCTAACCACCCTGAGTGTGCAGGTTGGTGCATGCATATATACCATGAGAGAAGACTGGGGACAGATTCCTGGAGTTGGTTGGCTGAGATATGGACCCTGTGTGTGTGTGTGTGGGGGGTGGGGGTGCAACTCAGGGATAGCATGAAGTTCGTTCTCTCTTTGCAGGCAGGACTCTGGGATGCACCTCCTCACCCAGACCACAGCCCCTCTGTCCTCCTGCCCCTGCACACTCTGCTGCTCCAGCCCCGGGGAAAGACCTTTTCCCCACCTCAGCGTCCCTGGGCTGGAATTTGGCTTGGAGGCATCTTGCTTATCTCTAGAATTTTTTAGTTCCTTGAGTTTCACTGACACCCTTATTCCCCAGGTAGGGTGCTGTGGGGCCTGGCAGGTGCGACCAGGGCAGGTGTCAGGCTCGTAGTTGGCTGCCCCTGTACCAGGGCAGCCCAGTGAAGCTCTCAGACACAGGCCGGCTACCCCATTCTCCTCATGCTGGGCCCCCAACTTATGTGTGGAAGTGTTGCCTGCAGTTCCCAGGGCTAGATCTCTTCGTGATGCCACCCCCTCCCCAACGGCTCAGGGGCCCTGCAGACAGTGCCGTTGTGCTGGCAGGAAAGTGGCCTGCTGCTTGGCCAAGGGCTGTCTACCTGGGGAGGCTGCACCCAGCCACACCCAGAACCATCTTCATGGCCCTGCGCCACCCCCAGCCTTGTGACCTGTGACAGCGCCAGCATGTGCCAGGGTGACAGGAAGCAGGTCTGGTCCAGGCTGCCCAGTACTACTGCTTTCTTAGCACACACTCCCCCTCCCAACTCTTCCCATAGGAAGACTGTACTTGCAGTGTGTGTGTGTGTGTGTGTGTGCTGCATGTGCGCGAAGGATGCACCTCTGAGGCTTCACACAAACTCACACTGTGTCTGTATGCTCCTGTGGCATGTTTCAGTGCAAACGGGCCTCTGTGTGTGTGCAGCTGATGCTAGTGTGTGTGACGTGTGTGTGACTATGTAAGAGCATGTAAGAGTTTGTACAGGAAAACTGGTGTTTTTCTTTGCACTTAACTACACTCAAAACTGTGCCTTGTGGCTGGCAATAGTGTGTGCGGTTGGGTGTGTAAGGAGAATGTACAGTTGGGGGTGTGTCCCTCCGTGTATGCCTATGTCTCAGGAAATCTGCACATAACGAAGGCTATAAGAGTGACTCTTGGTGTAAGGCAAGCCAGATCTGTGTGCAGGAAAGTTTCACTGTATGTGAACGTCTAAAGAAGACTAATCTGTTTGTACCATGTGCATCCGAGTGTCTGAGAGAGACAGACCGTGGCTATGTGCGAAGCCGTGTGTGTCTCAGGCAGCGGTGGCTTTGTGTGTTTTTGGCCCCCATATGTGTTGACTTGTCCCTCTTTGGCCCCAGGGGTGGGGAAGGAACCTAGCCACTGAGAGAGAACTGGTGAGACGTGTGTGTCTGTATGTTTGTGCACAGGCGAGGGCCACACAGCTGCTGCCACGCGGCTTCTCTCTGTCGCTCTGGAAGTGCGATTGCTTCGCTTCTGAGCACTGAAGGCCCAGTTCCAGAAAGTCCCCAGGCCTGGGGTCCACTTCCCTGCTTACTTTTGGGGGGCCGTTGGGGTTCCCTGCCTGACCAAATCCTGTATCTGGGAGTGGCCAGCTGCTCTCTGGTCTCCCTGCAGCAGCCAGATGGTGGAACAGAGGAGGGCAGGGGTGCAGGCAACAGTTGGAGAGTTTGGAAACTGCTCACTCACTTTTCTTTTGTCCTTATCCCCACACCTCATATCCTTTACCCCAACCCCAGCACACACACATGTGCACACACACACACACACACACACGCTTGCGCACACACCACATAGCAGAAAAAAGGTGGGCTCTGCTGGGTTGGGTCTCTCCCTCCCAGTGCCACAGACAGGGGGATTCTGCACCCACCACACACACACACACACACACACACACACACACACACACCCTTTCTGAGGTTGGGACACAGGCACCTCAGGTCTCTGTCTTGCTGAAGGAAGCCGACCCCTCCCCTCCCCCAAGAGCAAGCCCCCTCCTCATCAGGGTGACCGGAGCCCTTCCTCAGGCACACATGACTCGAAATCCAAGTCCTCTCCTCATTAATGGGAAAAATGTGCGGAGATTGAGCGATGGCCAAGGCTGAGCGATGGCCAAGGGCCGATCCCCTCCCTCCCTTGCTCTCTCCCCAGAAATTAAACAGAAATGAAGAGCCTCCCCCTTTCTCCTGCCCACCCCCTCTTCCCACCTCCCCACGCCTCCTCCCTCCACTCCCTCCCTCAGAGCCAGCGCAGGGCTTGTTTTAAACTGTGGAGGAATCTGGCTGAAGGGGGGAGGGGGCTGAATATTTGGGTTTAAACAGTTCCAGATGGGTTTGGCACAGGCTGAGCAGAAGGAAGTGCGAGAGAGGGAGGAGGGAGGCAGCCGAGGGAGCGGTGGGAGCCTTG